CACCTGAGTCCTCAGAAATGGCAACACATGGGGGGTATAATGGGCAAAACAGTATACTCTGTTATGTCCATGGTACTGCTCATGTCTATAGGCGACGGTTACCACTTTCCATCAGGTGGGCCGTCAGCTTGTTTGCCATTCTAAGTTGTATAAAAAAAACCCTAAATATGGCGAAGCATGTGTTCAGCAGTGGACAGTTAACGACTGATATGACCATAATGATATACTGTGATGCCAATAATAAGGTACTATATCGCCGTACCTTATAATTTTACTGCCAAAATATGTTCTTCAACCTGATACATTATACGGTTGACTGGTACGATTAGAGAATGCCGTCAGGCATTACGTCCGCCCTGTAGACATATTTTAATGTATGCAAAAGTATAAAAGTATAAATATGAGTGGCGGTCTTCCACCGTGCGTTTTTCAAGGCACTTTCTTCCACGCACAACCATTTTTTGGAATCAACTTCCAGCAGCAGTATTTCCGTACCGATACGACAACATAACCTTCAAGAAAAGAGTATATTCCTTTTTAAAAGGCCGGCAGCACACCTGCAATGTCGCTGGTGTTGTGGGTGATCATTGGCGGCGGTAGTCACTTACCGTCAGGTGACCCGCATGCTCGTTTGCCCCCTGTGTTGTAAAAAAAAAATAAACAAATACTTTGCATGTGAAACATAGACGACTTTTATACAAAATTATGTATATCTTTGTAACAAAAAATCTATATATATATAAATCTATCGAACCGTTTTAGCATAATTGAGTAATAAACACATTTGCAAACTTGCAAACTTTCAGATTTATGTTTTTATGGTAATAGATATTGTTACAAATTAAAGAGCAGTTTATTGCTGTTATTTCACATCCAATATTTTAAAGGTTAAACGCATAAATAATGTAAACAAACAAAACTACAATTAGAATAGAACTGATGAATCAATAATTAATGATTGATGAATGATGAAGAATAATGTAAATGATTGTAGCATTCTAGCTTTTTTTCTTTCTTTTATCAATACGAAATTTGTGATAGCCATATTTTTTTTTTTGTTGTACACTTAACTGTTATTTGAAAAAAAAACAACAGCTATGTTTCTTGCCCGTTCTCCTCAGCTAAAATTGTATTTCAAACTAGGCGGTAGATTTATAAAAAAATGAATATTCAAATATGATTTATATTAAATTTATTTGAATAAAAATTATTTATTATTATTATTTAAATTAATTGATGCTATCAGCGTATATATAGAACATTAATAATACACCAATTATTCATAAAACCATAAAATATACAAGAACTTGACCCTAGCTTTGTAGAATGAAAAATTATAAAAGTGTAAAAGGTTAAAGTGTTTTATGTCGGATATTTTACATTATTTCGCAATACTATCAATTAATTTAAACGTATACACCATCTATGTCATAATAGTATATATAATTCATGAATATTTATATTACTTATTTATCTAGCTGCTCGTTTTTATTTTATCAGATATTTCCTTAATAGTTAATTTGGTGGTATGTAACAAAAATGCTTTCAGACCTTGTATTTTCAAACCGTACAAGTGGACTTAATAATCGTAAAATGTAATTTATTTGCTTTTTAAGTGACTTCCAAAATAAATAATTCTAAATCTGCCCAATTTTGTTTGTGACTACCATTATCATCTCAGCTATTACCTATCCACTGGTGAACATAGTTCTCTCTCGTAGACTGTCATAAAGAACGGTGCTAACTTACCTGAAACTACTAATATTATACATTATGCATTTGAGGTCGTCCCTCCATCAAGTGAGGGATCGTTCTATAATAAGTTTGCCCATACGGGGTCGCCACACAAGAAATTTTCTTTCCCATCGGTTATTGGTTCTTCGAGCTATGTGTCCAACCCATTGCCGCTTCAGCTTGCTTATCCTTCGGGCTAGGATGACGACTTTGGTTCTTTTGCGCTGAAATTATGGAAGCCACATAGCTTATATGATAATAAATATGGCAACCGCAGATCGTTAAAAACTAATCTAACAAATTTACTTGTATTTTTAAATTCGTTTAACGATCCACTCGCATGTCCTTGGCCTTTATAGAGAAGAAAAAAAATATGAAATATACCATAGAGAACAAATGATATGAGTCACGTTGGATTAAAAACCAAAACCGTCTGTAGTATGTCCGGATTTTTACATAAATTTAGAAAGCAGGTTTTGGACAATCTTCTTGATCGTTTATTTAACTATAGACTATTGCTGTTAACAAGTCAAATTAATTAGTGAAACAGTAGACTCGTCTCAATTCAACTGTATTCTAATAACATCACCATCATTTCAGCCATTATCCGTCCACTGCTGGACATAAGCCTTTTTTTTATACAACTTAGAATGGCCAACAAGCTGACGGCCCACCTGATGGAAAGTGGTAACCGTCGCCTATAGACATGAGCAGTACCACGGACATAACAGAGTATACTGTTTCGCCCATGATACCCCCCATGCGTTGCCATTCCTGAGGACTCAGGTGTTATTCCTCTGTATCCAGTAAATTCACGCCATATCCCACCCTTCAAACCGAAACACAGCCATGCAAACACAACTGCTTCACGGTTGAAACACGAATGGGACAGAGGTACTCAAGTAATCGACTTTTGTACAAAGTCTCCCTCTGGTAGCCTCCCCTATACACTGCCATAAGGAACGGTCCTGAGCCACCTGTACCCTACCTCCCTGCAATGGATTTCAGTTCACCACTACATTTAGTGGGTATTCATCCTACATTGCGTTTACGCGTATGGGGTCGTCACTCTAGAGCCTTTCTTCCATATCGGTTGTCAGTTTTCGAGCTATTTGACCAGCCCATTGCCACTTCAGATTACGTATCCTTCGGGCTATTTCGGTTACTTTGATTCTTTTGCGGATTTCATATTTTTTTTTTTACAACACAGGGGGCAAACGAGCATGCGGCTCACCTGATGGTAAGTGACTACCGCCGCCCATGATCACCCACAACACCTACGGCATTGCAGGTGTGCTGCCGGCCTTTTAAAAAGGAATATGCTCTTTTCTTGAAGGTTATGTTGTCGTATTCTAATATACTTGTAATATTTAATCTTCCGAGAGTTTTGTTATAAAGTAAGTGAATGAATAACTTCGGTTTAATAATCGACATATTTTAGACATCGTCATAATCTTATCAGTCGTTATCTGTTCATCGCTAAACATAAGCCTACCCCCAGACTGCCATTAGCAATGGTCTCGACTCACATGCATCCACCGACTCCCTATAATGTTAGGGGGGAAAAGGATTGTTAGCAATGGAGTTTGAAAGCCCCATTGTTAGCAGTATGCCTTATTAGGTCGAGCTCCACGTGGTTCCCCCTGGAAACCATCGTGAACAATTCTTGTTGAATTCGTCACGGTGGACTAACCGACCTACTTCATCCTCACCTATCATCCTTCACTGATGCCCCGCCGGTGTATACCGATAGCGCGGGTGGGGTTACTATTCCATTAAAAAAAAAACTCCCTATAATGCATTTGAGGTTTGAGTTGGCTTCAAACTGAAATATAGCTATGCAAACACAACTGCTTCACGGTAGAATCACGAATGGGACAGAAGTGCCCAAGAAAACGACTTTTGTACAAAGTCTCCCTATGGTGGATGGACTTTTAGAGATATTGTTGTATCTTAATTAAATAAATAAATCTTAATAAAAGGATATTTTGTAATTATATATAACTAGTTTCTAGCCGGATACACTATTTAACTGTAATATAAAGTAATATATATTATTCCTTAACTAAAATACTACGTGTATACCAAATTTCCTGACAATTGGTTGAATCGTTAAGGCGCCAAAATATAAAAAAAAAAAAACAAACAAAGACACTTCCATACTTTACCTGAGAGACACTTTGTACATAAGTCGTTTGCTTGGATACCTCCGTCCCATTCGTGTTTCAACTGTAAAGCAATTGTTGCATGGCTGTGTTTCGGTTTGAAGGATGGGATATGACGTGAAGTTACAGGGTACAGAGGAATAACACCTGAGTCCTCAGGAATGGCAACGCATGGGGGGGGGGGTATCATGGGCGAAATAGTATACTCTGTTATGTCCATGGTACTGCTCATGTCTATTGGCGACGGTTACCACTTTCCATCAGATGGGCCGTCAGCTTGTTTGCCATTCTAAGTTGTATAAAAATAAAACTTAGAATATTGGTAAGGGTTATATAAGATACTGTATTATTATATACATAGACAATTACAATAGGCCGATTAATTAATAACAATGGGAAGAAGCAAAAATCGATATAAAAGAAGAAAAAGGTTCTAAACTGGCGACCCTCCGCTAGATGGAGCTAGCTACGACTGCATATGTGTCTATGAATGCGGGTGACTTTCGATCATTCCTTTTGGTATTTTATGTAGCAGGATTATGTTCAACAGTAGTCGATTACTAGTTAAACCCATAAAATAATGGGGAAAGGGATTGTTAGTAATGGAGACTAAGAATCCCATTGCTGGCAATATACCCAACCAGGTCGACCTCCTCGCGGTTCCCCCTGGAAACTATCATGATTAATTCCAGATGAATTCATCATGATGGGCGAACTGGCCTGTTTTCAATCTCATCGATCACCCTTCACTGGTGCCACGCCAGCGTATCCCGTTAGCGCAGGCGGGGTTACCATTCCATTTTCATTCATTAAAAAAAACCCATAATATTTTATGGGATTTTTTTTGGGGGATGGGGAACCTATATTCGAGAATGTACAGTTGACTGCCATCACAATGATAATGACTTCATTGTTAGTAAAATGATTATAATTATAAATAATTTTCTCAAAAATATGCATTTTATAAGATATTTAATATCGAAAATCTCTTAATTTTATTGTTATGACCTTGTGAAACTTTCAGGATGCACAAAACTTTAAGCCTAAAACTATAGCGTACGAAGCTATATATTGTATGCGAGATGCGCACGCGCAGGTCAATACGTATTGACACGCGCGCAGAAGTAGCCGCGTCTAGTGTAGTGAACATGCAGTGTATGTGATAGAACAGCCCGAGGAAACATGGTGAGCTGATTTTTTTTATAATATCTAGATCTAGACAGACTAATTATATTAATGTAAAATATATATATATATATATATATATTTACATTAATTATAAAGCGAAAATTAAAAAAAAAAGTTCGAAAGCTCGTTTCTCGATAATGCTCAATCGGCTGTATAGATATGAATGAAATTTTTTACCCAGATAGTACCTACTAGTAGATTAATACATATAAATGGAATTATCCTAATTATTAGGCGAACAAAACCGTGGATTACAATTTCATATTCATAAAATCATTAATAAATAATAAGAATTCTTCAATTTTACCTATTATCAAAAAAAACAAATGATATGAACTTAAAAAGAGATCCGGACAGACTTGTACTGACAGAAATACCAAGATCAAACAAATACAAAAGAAACTGCCTTACTATGTGCGTTCATATATATAATAAAATTCCAAATAGATTTAAAGATTTGAATGTCACTTTATTTGGGAAAAGATTATATAACTAGTTAAAGGAACAGAATTTTTATGACATAAAAGATTTCCTTGGTAGACGTTTTTGACAATTAGTATTAACAAAAAATTTTGTATATCTAATAATGATTTATAATAGGAAACTTAATTTGCATGCTATATGACTTTAGCAGGACATGTGCACTTTTAAATATAATTATAACATCACTGTATACCATGTTTAAAGCAAATTTAATATTTACTACAACATGTTTTCTAACTGCATTGGGTTGACTGGAAGAGATCTCTGTCAGAGATAAGTCCACCCTTGCTCACAATATTTATAAATGCATTAACAATGTAATTTAAGTGCAATAAAGAATATATATATATATACTATTATTATTAAAGATATATTACAATAATAATTATTCTTATTTATAAAATATTAATAGATTTTTAGCCACAATCAGGCAGAAAATCTAAACATTCTAAGCTCCAAATATAATAAAATCTTTGAAATTCTTCTGCCAACTGTACGTATTATTTAAAAGAAAAAGTTTACATTATATTAATTAATTTCTTTCTTGTCTATGGTAAAAACAATTTGTTTTCAATCATTAAACCCATTTAAAGTCACTGTAATTGAATTTCAAGGTACGATAATCAACATAATCAATATCGTTATCGAATCATAAGTATCTCGTTAAAAAATCATCAAAAAATATAGCAATTAGAGTTAAATATATATGTAGCTGACAAAATCGTATATTACTGTGATTGAATGAGGCTAAGAGATGCGCGGGCATGTTGCAACCGAAGGCCGCGGAAAGGTTAGGCAGTTGACCGGTTACTGCAGATCTGCACTTGTTTGTTTGTTGTGAATTTATTCGTACAGTTAGTTTATTAAACTTTTAACAATTTTAATATAAATTAAAAAAAAATGTATACGAATGGAATCTAAACCACTTGCATCCTTTTAAGTGAGTGTTCGACATATGTCGAAAAGCAAAGAAAGATTTGACGTTCTCATAGTAACTTATTAAAATATCATTCACTTTTAATGTCCATATTAAAAGTGTAATGCACAAAAGCATATAAATAAACAAATAACTGAATAGATGGATGTACCTTTTTAATATGAGAGGCTTAGTTTTTGTCGTTTATGCAGTCATGTTAATATAAAAAAAAATTATGCAACTTAAAATGGCAATCAAGCTGCCGGCCCACCTGATAGTAAGTAGTAACCGTCACCTATCGACATGAGCAGTACCATGTTTCGCCCTAATACCCCCCATGCGTTGCTATTCCTGAGGACTCAAGTGTTATTCCTCTGCACCCAGTAAATTCACGCCATATCCCACCCTTCAAACCGAAACACAGCCATGCAAACACAACTGCTTCACAGTAGAAACCCGAATGGGACAGAGGTACCCAAGCAATCGACTTTTACAAAGTCTCCCTTTGGTAAAAAAAAACTTGCATTCCTTATCATCCTATCAGCCATTAACCGTCCACCCTTGGACACAGGCCTCCTTTTGGGTTTTGCAAAACATTGCAAAAACATGGCAAAATATTGCATTAAATGTTGAAAATTATTTAATACAATGTATGTCTTAAGCAATTAATAATTCTCAATTCATATTATTTATTATATCTTGAACATCGTTTCCTATTTTATATATATATATATTTTTTTTATATATCGATGTAATCTTATTGATTACTTTCGAGTCATGATCGTTACCATGATTATTTCATTGATTTCGCAATCTTTACATTTAGCTTTGAAATAATATGTTTAACATGCGTATTTATGTTAAAACATGATGTTTCAACATTTAACAATATATCAGTATACAATGTAAAAATATTTTATATAATATAACATTACACTGTTTGAGATTATTGACCTTTTGGTACCCAAGTTCAAATGACTGTGTGAACGGAGGATCATTCGTGTTTTCAGTGGTCTAAATGGAATACTAATTATTATAACAGAGGGAGACTTTGTACAAAAGTCGTTTGCTTGAGTACCTCTGTCCCATTCATGTTTAAATTGTAAAGCAGTTGTGTTTGCATGGCTGTGTTTCAGTTTGAAGGATGGGATATGACAGTAAATTTACCGGGTACATACGAGGAATAACACCTAAGTCCTCAGGAGTGGTAACGCATAGGGGGTATCATGGGCGAAACAGTATACTCTGTTATGTCCATGGTACTGCTCATGTCTATAGGCGACGGTTACCACTTTCCATCAGGTGGGCCGTCAGCTTGTTTGTCATTCTAAGTTGTATAAAAAAATATAATATTTTGTTTTATTGTATATTATAATACTCCTGGATTATTATATAAATCAAGAATGAATTTAAAATAACAAATATTTATTTATAACTTTAATGCAATAATTATATAAACTGCTGTTCATTTCAGCTTATATCGTAGATGTATATATATATATATATATATATATATATATATATATATATATATATATATATATATATATATATATATATATATATATCATGTTCGATTCAAACAAACCTCTTTCGCTTCTTGCGCATTCATTAATCCTTTCATACACGCTCGCCGCTTACGGGTACTTTTAATTTGGCTCTTCTTCAGTACGCCCCCTACCGACATCTCCATTCATTCTTGCTTATATATATCGTGTAAGAGTGACGAACTCTGGTATCAATTGTTTCTAGGACTTCGTTACAGCTCTCTGATGCCCTCTGATACTGCTGATGACAATTTTAAATGATGTAAGCGTGCATTTGAAATGATACAATCAATTGCAAGAACACATTCGATTTGAGACAAATTTGGTAATATTGCATTGCCACGAATTGGGCATGTCATGTCATTGTATTATTGTCACACGTCCATAACAAAACTTAGGAAGTTAGTGTGACATTGACACAGTTCTCATCCGTAGCCTGAAGTCAACTCCTCGCGGGCTAAAAATAAAAGAGGCATTCCTTGTTAACCTCAAGATTAATCTACGATAGTTATCATGCCTCATTATGTCAAAACAACAAGTCGCTGCGAATAAATATAAACTGGTGGTTATTTGATTCCTACAAACACTGTAAATGGGCAAATATTTTTTTTATACCACTGAGGTGGCAAACAAGCATACGGCCCACCTGATGGTAAGCGGTTACCGTAGCCTATGAACGCCTGCAATACCAGAGGTATTATGCGCGCGTTGCCGACTTTGAAGAAACCTCTTTACCCCCCTTTTGAAGAATCCCATGCTGTAGTCTATTGGGAAAACCTCGGCAGGGAGCTCATTCCATAACCTGATTTTTATCATTGATAATTTTGATCATTATATCAGCCTGTTCACTGCTGAACATAAGCCTCCCCCTTGGGGGGTTTTTCCAGTAGTTGCCACCCTTGGCAGGCGGATTGGTAACCGCAGTTAGGCTTTAGAGATATATTAAGATGGACGCTGCCGCCCACCCCTCGCCTTCCCTTAGTTGCCTCTTACGACACCCACAGGAAGGAAGGGGTGGGATATTCTACGCCGGGACCACACGACCACATATATGTATATTTATTAGCAATTTAAATATAACACTTGCCAAATATTATTGTAACACGCGATGTCAAAGAAATATGGAGCAATCGATGGCATTCGCCTTTGATATTTGCACGGTTCTATTGAAAATCGAAACCAATAAAAACAAGTTTTGGTAATCATGAATTATGATTATAAATCTTTAAAATTTATATTAATATTATTACAAAATTATTTTGTAACTTTAATAAAACTTTGTAATATTTAGTGTTTAGTTATTCATTTAAAATTTCTTTTGTCACGAATAAATGAGTGAATGAAAACTTTTTACTGTTTTATTCAAAGAATGATACAGATTATAAAGCTTAACAATATATACATAAACATAATTAATACTTAATTACATAAAAACAAGAAAAAGAGGCAACAATGGGCGGCCTTATCGCTAAAAGGCAACAATGGGCGGCCTTATCGCTAAGAGGCAACAATGGGCGGCCTTACCGCTAAATAGTTATCTCTCCCAGGCAACCTTAGAATGGAGTATCTGGTAAAGGCGTAATGGAAAAACAAAAAGACTAAATTTCTTTTATCATGTTTGTCTGAAATTATATTTTTAATGTCTGAATATGATGCTTCTAGTGCTTCTAACTATTATTATAATGGATTTCAATTACTATTTTGCTTCAAAATATAAATACTGGACATATTTTATAATGTTAGATACATTCGCAAATAAAGAAACGAAGCAAATCTTTTACTAGGACTAAGAACAAAATATACTTGTAAATTGGCAACATTTTTTTTCTATATATATTATCTAAATTTGAGTTAAACTCGTCTTTGTACATTTGCTTAGATGCCTCTGTCATATTTTTATCTATTATTAGTATGTACATAAACTTTATAATAAGCATTTTTCTATACAATTACCGCACAGTTCGTAAGGCAATTTCAGCTGAGAAACACGAGCAAATACGAAGTTGTTGCTTTTTTTTTTAATATAAATTAAGAAGAAGGTTTATCAATAT